GAAGACAACTTTGTGAATTTGGTCCTCTCCGTCCACCCGTACATGGGTTTCAGGATTGAACTCAGGTTACCAGCTTTTGCTTAGTAAGTCTCTTTACCTACTCAGCGAATTTGCCGGCCCCGCTCTTTCATTCTTTCTAATTCTTGAAGAATTTATCCCAGTGAAAACTGTGAGATAAGGCTGCCGCTTGACCATTGCTATTTGTGGTGCTGGGCTTCAAACCCAGCACCCGGGGCATACTAGACAATTGTCCTACCATTGCTGCCTGGCCCTTTCTTTCCTATTTTTTTTCTCTTTCTTTTCTTCTTTTATTTTCAAAATAGAATCTCCTGTGGCTTGGGCTGGGCTCAAACTCACCGCAAAGCTAAGGATGACCTTGAACTCCTTAGCCTCCTGGTTCTGCCTTGACAGTGCTCGAGCCACAGGTGTGTGCCACACATCTGGCCTCTCCTGTTATTTCTTTAAAGCCAACAATAATTAGAATCAGACATTTTAAATCCATATAGGCCAAAAGAAGCTGGGAAATTTGAGGGGGAACAACAGAGCAAAAGGATTGATCTCACCAGAAATGAAACCATAGTCTGCATTCAGATATAAACAGTGTGGCCCTGGGTACAGGAGAGACTACAGGGAAAATAAAACAAAGAAGGATAGAGAAAGAGAGGGGGAAATAATAAGAGGGCAGCGGGTGTGACTCGGTGGGAGAGCACTTGCCTAGCACACACAAGGCTCTGGGTTGGATCCCTAGCTCCTGGGGGTCATGGGGAGGACACAAGATAATCAGTTTATCGTTAGTTAAGTGTAAAGGCATTAGTGAGGGTTGTCATCTTTCTCATGGTCAGTATCCCTGTCAAAGAATACAGTTCCCCTTTTCACCAGTCCGGGTCACCTGTTAGAGACCCCACCCTGGAATGAGAATTCCGCATCTTCCCACCACCTTCTCATCCCTTAAGTACCAGTAGTAAATGTGACCTGTTTGAGTTCTGGAGTTTGTTTCCTTAATTATTCCTAATATACCGGACTTCCCTGGCTCTCCTCACTGAACAGGAGAGCTATGGTGATCGAGTCCGATTGCATCAGATATACAGTCATGTGTTGCTGATCACAGGGGCAACTTCTGACCAATGCGTTGTGACTGTGTGACCACCACAGAGCCGACTACAGAGGGTGGAGCCAGCCGCACATCCAGGAGTCATAGATAGAGGCTGCAGCTCCCAGCAATCTGAACAGCTTGTCCTGGATCGCATACTTTAAGTGATTGTAACAATAATATTTGTATATCCAAACATCTAAGCCCAGAAAAGAAAAAATATTGTATAAAATCGCTTGCACTGTGTATAAAATATTGAGTGACAATATTGTAGAAAAAAATACAAAATGGAAGCAGATTGTGGCAGTTTCTGCTTTTAATGTGAGTACTGAGAGGCAGACAGGAGACCAAGTTTAAGTTTGAGGGTCACTCGGCTGTCTCAAAACAAACAAACACAAATATAAAACGCTGTCACTGTATAGAACCCTTACCAAGACCAGAACATGCATGTCTGGGAGTTGCCCTGGGGTAATCAATGAGCAAGAAACAGGCAATGAATGTGGAGACCCCTGATACACATTGCTGTGGACTCTATACACACAGGACAGTTGGACTGAATGTCATTTTTTTAAACAATTTCTTTCTTAAATAATAAATTAATTTCTACAATATACTGTTTTTTAATAAATTAATTTTTTCTTTTACTTTTTACTTCTTTTTTTTTCCCCCATGTAACCCGGGCTGACCTCAGACTCACTGTGCAGCCCAGAATGACTTTGAGCTTCCCTCTCACAAGCTAGGATCACTGGCATGTGCCGCTCTGCCTGCCTTTTTTCTTTTCTTTCCTTTTTTTTTTTTTTTTTTTTTTTTTTTTTTTTTTTTTTTTACCTTTTTTAACTTTTGAAATAACATCTAGCTTAGAAAACATTGT